AGGAGATTAGGAATACCTTTTCCTTTCTAGCCACAGAAAGGTTAGCAGGTTCAAAAGGTCTACAGAGCATGGCAACCTACTGTAACCCATATTGAAGAACATTACACGGCTGACCACAGAAAGTTCTTAACTTTCAAACCATATTCTTACTGCCCATAACTCCCTCATTTTGTCGAGGGGCTGCCTTGTGAATGGTTTAGGAGGCTTCTTAGAGTTGAAAGCATCTTTACATTTGGGAGGGACCCTGAGCAGAGAAGACATGTGACCAGCTCATGAGTCCCAACTCCACGCAGGCTCTCATATACTCCAAATTTGCAGGCCAATGACTTTGACTCTTGACACTAGTAATCAATTAACCTACTGATCTGTGGAAGGAGTCAGATCTTAACTTCAAAGGGAAGGACCAAATGTTCTGCTTCCCATTAAAGCTCCGTCCACTGACCACAGAGACTGGATGCCTTATTAATCTTGGGTAGATATTCAGATGTTGCCCAAAGGCACAACTCCTCTTTTCCCCAAATCCCAACAGTCATTATGCAATCTTGTGCCTGACTGGGGGAACAAATGATGCTGGGAAGGGGGGATTTTTTTGGTCCTTGACCTGGGGCTTGAACTCGGGGCTGAACTCAGGGCCTGAGCACTGTTCCCTGAGATTTTGTGCTCAAGCCTAGTGGTCTACACTTGAGACACAGCTCCACTTCTGGCTTTTAAAAGTAGTTTATTGGAGATAAGAGTTTCATGACCTTCCTTCCCAGGCTGGAAATCCTCAGATCTCAGCCTCCTGAATGGCCAGGATTATAGACATGAGCCTCCAGCACCCAACCTGAGCAGGGTCTTGGATCACTGAGATCTTTTACTCTTGCTCCTACCCACTATGCCTCTAGCATCTTGCAGCATGCTTTAGGAGTAGTGGTGAGGTTAGTGGCTCTATGATCTGCCATTTCCTTTATTTATGACTTTGGTCAACTTGCATAATCTTTCTGAGATTCTGTCTCTTGGACATAATAAAAGCCTCTTCTTCTCAGGGTTATCATGAGAATCACAGGACATAAGGTCCCTCAAAGGCTTAATAAAGTGCTAGCACATAATCAATGCCCAGGAAAGGTGATTATTTTTGCTTTGAGTCAACCCGAAATTTATTTTTATAGAGGGCAGGGGATGGATGCCACAGCTGTTTAGGGGGAGATGTGAGAGTAGCATCCTGGTGTCCAGATCCCTGGTCTTAGTCTAAGAACAGCTGTGCTTAGTTTAAGCATCTCAGATACATTTTCCTGTAAAAGGGCTCGCAATCATTTGTAGGTAAATTCCAGAAATGCTCAGAAAATCAGAAAAGCTCTTCTCTCTGCACATTAGCAATCCTAGCACTCAGGATGCTGAGTTAGAATCATCCTGAGTTTAAGGACAGCCTGGGATATATAGCAAGATCTTAATCTGAAAACAAAAGTAAACCAGGCACTGGTGGCTCACACTTGTAATCCTAGCTACTCAAGAGGCTGAGATCTAAGGAATGTGATTCAAAGCCAGCCTAGGCACAAAAGTCCATGGGACTCTTATCTCCAATTAACCAATGGAAAACTGGAAGTGGTGCTGTGGCTCAAGTGGTAGAGCACTAGCCTGGAGCTGAAGAGCTGAGGGACAGCGCCCAGGCCCAGTGTTCTAGCCCCACAACTGACGAAAAAGAAAAAAGAAAAACTAGTACAAATTCTCCCATTGGACTAGTAGAATTTTATTTCAAGATTTTGATGTGACACATGGTTTGCTTTGCTGCTTTTCAGAAAGGAGTAGAAAGGAGAGAAGCTGCATGCCTGAAGCACAGCTCTGTGTTCGGGCTGTTTTCAGCATGGGGTCAGGGGACAGTAAAAGCGATATGCTTTCCAGATGCACCTGTTTTCATGGGACCCAGGTAGTGTGAAGCCTAGAGGTAATATACCATCAGGGGAGAAATGGCAACAGCTGAGATCCGGCTCAGGCCACCCCCAGCAATGCAATCTTGGCTCCTGCAAAGGGCCTCCCCCTGCTACCCGCATTCCAGGCATTGTAGTAACTTGTTGAGTGAACACACAGGCTATTCTATTTTCAGTCTGACAGTCTCCGTCCCTATCACCCGCAGTACCTGGCTGAAGACTTAGATGTTAGCAGTGGGCACCTTCCTGAGGCTCCAGGGATTCACCAGCCACTAAAGCAGGACCTGTCAGACTCAGTCAGGTGGGTTCTCATAACGCTATCCCCTTTGGATCTTACACATCATGCAAGAAGAGAGATGCAATTTCACCCAGGAAGACCTATCTAAGGAAGCTGCTTCCTGAGCCGGAGGCATGTTTTTGGGTCCCTTCAAGTGGGGGCACATTCTTGGGCCTCTAGGACAGCGTGGTATTTTGAAAACAGTCAGATCATTCCAAGCCAAGGGCAGAGAACAATGTGTCCCTTAGAGGAGGAAGAAGAGTTGATTGTGATCAAGTCCAAGGTGTGATTCTAAAGCAGGGATTACGAAGGGCATTAAAGGCCATGGCTAAAATCAGCCAAGCCTGAACATGGAGTGAGCAAGGAGAGCTTCTGTAGAGAAAAGGCTCCAAGGACACTGCTCCCTAGAGATACATTGCAGCTGACACTGACTGATCAAAGGCGAAAGTTACTTACCACATTGACAAGAGTGAAGAATGGAAGAAGACCTCTGCCACTCCAACCTTCCCACCCTTTTCTCCTAGGATATGGCTCACGTAGATGCAAACCCGAGGGAAACAACGAAAGGCCCTGAAAATTATGGCAGCACTTTTCCTTCATTGACTCAGTTGTTCAGCATGAAAGAGGAGCATGAAGTAAAAAGGGTCCTAAGGACAGGGGGGAGAAACTCCCTTCAAATCCTTTACTGGGGCAGGAAGTTTGGAAGCTGGGTCACTTGTCAAGTGATGGCTTCTGCCATCATCTGATCTCTGCCATCTCATGACTGCCCATTTCTGTAAGAGCAGGACTACAGTCAAAAGTATTTTATGAACATATACACACTCAACTGAATAGCAAGTGTAATACATAGTTGACAATGAAGAGAAAAAAGAGACCCCAATTAATCACTCCCCCCCCCCATACCTGTACACATACCAGATCGTAAAATCAACATGGATTACCCTGGGAATTGGAGAAGACAGACCTTCTACTTATATGAAATGGCATTACCTCAGAGCCCAGGGCTCCCAGTTCCAAGAACAGGAAGGAAACAGACCCATGGCTCTATAAGAGCCACTTCCCCTCTGCTTTATTACTTTCTGAGATTAAGCAAGCCACTCCTCTATGGGCCAAATAGCCTGAGATAACAGCCATTGTGTTTGCTGTAGCTCCAGTGAACAGAGCTAATCTCAGAAGACTGGCATGCTGCAGGCATTCATTGTCAACTTCAAGCAACCAGGGGCTCTCATGGCCCCTTTCTATCCTTGTGATCATCATCATCATTGTCATCACTGTCATCCTCCTCCTTCTCCTTCTCCTCCTCCTCCTCCTCCTCCTCCTCATCATCATCATCATCAGCAGCAGCAGCAGCAGCAGCAGCAGCAGCAGCAGCAGCATTCTGGCTCTTAGAACTACCATGGACATCCCTAAGGCTGCATTTCAGATACTTGGATGATATGTGGATTCCAAGGGACAAAAGCCGAAGTAGGTCAAATGGGTTTTAAATAAGACTCTAGAGCCTGAGAATTGAACTACAATACTTTTCAGCATCCTACTCACTGACTTCTTGCTCTCTTCAACAAACCCACAAGGGGCATTGGGAGTTCTAGATCTTTCCTCCATCAGATTTAAGTTCCTTATATTTTGGGTTGGTCCCCCACCACCAAGGTTACACCGAGAATTTTAATAACACAAGTTCAAGTTTCAGATTAGAAGCATTTCAACACCCCCCTCCCCCCATAGCCCATTTTCTGACCGATTCCTGGAGCTTTCTGGGCTCCTGACGATTTCCCACCATGTTGAAATGGGGAAGCATGCTCTCGATTACAAGTCGACTTTTCCAGTCATCCATTGTTTGACCTGCAATTTTATTCTTGACTCTCCAAGGCGCTTCCCAAACGACCTAGACACAGGGCTTAGGGAGACAGAAAGTACACTGTGTTTCAGATACGAAGATGAGACCATTGACCCCATGAATCATAGGCTTTCTTTCTGAGGACAGGTTTGTGTGGAGTCTGCCACATTTATTTTCCTGTCTCTCTTCCCACCATACCACCCTCATTGAGCACTCCCACCCCCAGGGATGAAAGATGCTTCTGTGAGGCAGTTGATGGGGATGAAATGGCCATAAAGCAGACAGAGCAAGGGTGTCCAGACAGCAGAAGGGTGAGTGAAGGCCCAGCCTGACAAGACTAAAATAGCACTAGGTAGGCAGATGGAGACTGTGGGTCCTGGGTTGAGCTTTCCTTTTGTGTGGCCCTGCTTTCCCTGGCCAGAGGATCTAGGGAAAGATTCTTCCATTCTCTGTGATGCAGTTCCTTTACATTAAAAACAAACAAACAAACAAAACCATAGTGATTGCAGTGGTGGCTTGGGATGTGTTCAGCATTCCTGGAATCAATCTTGGGACCCATAGAAGAAGCAGTGACCAACTCTGGCCTTGTTGGCATTCAGTCAAGTGACCTGACCAGTGGTTCAAAGCCTAAATGACATTGGAAGGAAGCAATGGATGTTGGAAGGATGCACAAGTTTACAGGAAGCTAGCTGAGCCGGCGTGACCATGGCTACTCCAACATGTTTCCTCCATGCTGGATGAAAGGCAAGCAAACTCAGGTTGTGCTCTTCTTCTTTTGTGTTCTCCATGGTGTTAGTGTAAAATAAGAGCTTGGTTAAGGTATTCATATATGAGAACAGCTTTGTTTACCATAAGCCTTGGAAGCACAGCACTAGGCTATAAAATCTTGGTGTCCAAACTTCTACCTTCAGGACAGAGAAATACTTGGCACCACTCTCCCACTGAATGCAACTAAACTTCTTCACATCTTATATAAATCCAACAGAAGAGGACTCGGAATAGAGCAAATTGACACTAGATAAGGACCTTGGAGTCTGAGGAATAATGCAGTGTTGAGTTTAGGGGGTTTTCTTTGGCGTCATATATTCCAAAGTAGTAACTATAGAAACAAGCATTCATGATGTCAGTGAGCACAGGAAAAAATGGTTCCAACAAAGGGTTCCTCTTCCTAGCCAGAACGTCACGAAAAGATTAGCCTAGCAGGACAGAAAATGACACAAAATTACTCTAATAGAGCTAAACACCAAAGAAAACATTACAGTTTGATACTGTACCATCAGCAAAGACCAAGCAGAGATCCTAGACTCTAGCTCTATTTGAAGTGAGAAAGCACGTCTTATCTCCATTAGCATGGTATCAATGGATACACAGAGGTGAACTGGAAATCTCTCCTTGCCTACTAGTAATGAGGACCTCCACACTCTCTGATGCCGATAAAGGATACCTAGGGAGCCTTGACTTTGATACCTACTAGCAAGGAATAAGATGGTGTCTCTCCTTCCCTGCCAGAGCAGTGTCAGAGAAAATCAGCTCAAACAGATTTAAATAAGAGCTAGTTTTATAACATAGCACCCAAAATATCTTGGTTTCAATTCAAAAAATGTATTCATCATACCAAGACCAGGAAGGTCTAAAACTGAGCAAAAATTATTATCAACAGATTTGTCACCAAGATGACACAGATGTTGGCATTATCTGACAAGAGTTTTAAACTAGCAATCATCTAAATACCTCAACCAACGATTACAACCATGCTTTAGCAAAAATAGAGAATATCTCAGCAAATAGACGTTTTAGACCTAAAAAAATATAATGGCAGAAATAAACTCAGTGGGAGGGATCAAAAGGAGAATAGAGAAGACAGGGGAAACAATTAAGAGTTTGATCTAATCTGAAACACAGGGAGAAATGGCACTGGAAAAATGTGAGCAAGGCCCCAGAGACATCTGGGATTATAAACAAAAGATTTAACAATCAATCATGTCATTGGAATTCCAGAGGAAGAGGAAGGAGAGAAAATGGGACTGAAAAAGTATTTTAAAATGGCTGCAAAGTTGCCAAATTTGACAAGTCATAAATAGGGGAAATTTAAGAAGTAGAGTGAACCCCACCCCCTCCAAAATCCAAAGAGATTTCTTGAATCTGTCATAACGAAACTTCTGAAATGCAAAGACAATGTTTGGAAAGCAGTGATAGAGAAATGACAGCAGCAATTTCCAAGTACTGAAAACAAGAATTGTCCATGCCAGTTCTTCAACTCAGTGAAAATATGCTTCAATTATCAAAGGAGACTCAAGACATTCTCAGATGAAGGGAAACTAAAATGATTTGTCAACAACAGACCTCCACTAAGATAATAGTTAAAGGAAGTACTCTAAACAGAAAACAAACAATAAAAGAAGGACATTTGGAAGAGCAATGAAAGAGAAAATATGATAGACTTTCTTCTCTGTTCAAGTTTTCTAAATTATGACTGAAGTACCAATTATAACATTGTCTCATTGCAGTTCTAAAGGTTGAACTATTCAACCACGGTTACACCATAAGAAACAAATAAAGGGATGGAAAATTGTAAAGTCTACACACTTTGTTAAAGGTAGTAAAATGTTGGCACCAGTAAACCAAATGATGTGTGTGTGTGTGTGTGTGTGTGTGTGTGTGTGTGTGTGTGTATCTGTAATCTAAAATTTGTTCAAGTAGCCTACAGGAATTGGGGAAAAGAAAATAGAAAAAAAGAACTGATAGCAAATGAAAATAAATTGGCAAAATTAAACATTAACATTAGTAAGTATATAAAATGATAATGGCCTAAATATACCAATTAAATGACAGAGATGAGCAAAAAGAGAAAAAAAATGACCTATTTGTTGTTTGCCTCAAATATAATGTGTCAGAAAGAATTAGAAAAAATGATGAAAACATTAAAATAAGAGAAAATTTTAGTGACATTATACTGATATCACTTCAGAGCAAGAAAAATGATCAGAGACAGAGAAGAGCATTACATAATAATAATAAGAGAGTCAATTCATCAAACAGACATAATAGTCTTAAATGTATATGCTTCAAACACAATACAGTAAGCAAACATTAGAAACATACAAGCACACATTTATAGTTGAATACTTAAACTCTGCAATAGTGGATACAAATATATAAAATTAGCAAAAGATACAACACAATAACAGAATTCAACAGGATCTAACAGACATTTATAGAATGTTTCATTAAAAAACAATAAAATTTATAATCTTTTAAAGCATCCATGGAATATATACCTAGACAGATGCATTGTGAACTCAAAAACAAAATATGCAATAATTCAAAAATTGAAATAATACATGCTTTATCTGACTAGGGTGGAGTTAAACTACAAAACATAAAAATCTCCAAATATGTTTTTTCTAATTTTATTTTACTGTAAGGGTGATGTACAAAGGGTTACAGTTCCATAAGTAAGCACATTTCTTGCTGAACATTGTTACCCCTCCCTCATTTTCTCCCACTTTTCCTCCCCTCCAACTCCACTCCCCCACCAGTTGTACAGTTCATTTCCAACACAGTGTCCTGTGAGTATCACTGTTGCATTGGTTCACACTTTGTTCTTTGTCTCACCATTTTGTTATTCTCCTTCACTTGCCCAAATCAGATAAATGTATATACAAGACACAGGGCACCAAAATCAAAAGCAGTGACAACAGGGAATAAACTAAAGGAGAAAAAAGAAAGAAAAAAGAAATAACTGCAAATAGTACAATAAAAAAAACCTCTTGTTTCAATTTCTTGGAGTTCATTTCAATAAGCCTCACTTTATATGGTCATATGTACATAGCTATTGTGATCCCCTCTTAAGAATATCCTCCAAAAGTAAAAAAGAATATCCTCCTTTGTTCTGTGTGCAAATACTTAAAAGTGCTGATTAATTAATCATGTCGAAGTGTAATTATTTGACTTTTACCATCCATTGGATTAACCTATAGATTCACAGACCTAGTTATTACAAATGAGGGAAACCATGAAGCCTATGTTTCTTTGGGTCTGGCTTACTGTGCTTATTTTTTTTTCCCGAGGTCTTTCCATTTCCTTACTAATGAAGCACTGTCTTTCTTTCTGGTGGAAGCATAGAATTCCATTGTGTATATATACCAAATTTTCTTGATCCATTCATCCACTAAGAGGCAACTGGATTGGAAAATCTCCAAATATTTACAAACTAAAAAATAAACTTCTTTTAAATCCGTGAGCAAAAAAGGTTGAAGGAAAAAAACACAACACTTAAAAATACATTAAATTAGCCAGGCACTGGAGAGACAAGCCTGTAATCTTATTTACTCAGGAGGCTGAGATCTGAGGGTCATGGTTCGAAGCCAGCCCAGGCCGGAAAGTCCATGAGACTCTTATCTGCAATTAACCACCAGAAACCCAGAAGTGGAGCTATGGCTCAAAGTGGTAGAGCATTATTCTTGGAGGGGGGGAAGCTCAGGGACAGAGTACATGACCCACAACAAAAAAGTAATAATAATTATAGATGAAATGAAAATACAGCATACCAAAATAAAACTATGCTAAGAGAAATTTATAGATATCTAAGCTCTCACTTAAAGCACTTAGGAAAGTACAAAATAAAAACACAAAAATGAATCTAAGGACAAAATTAGTAAGTTTTGGGTTTTGAACAAAATTACTAAAATTGATAGACCATTAGCAATGTAGCAATGTAAAAAATAAATACAGAAAACACAAATTGTCAATACTTCAAATGAGGTGGCAAATATTTTTATGGAAATGTACGTGTGGAAAAGATGAGTGAATACTAAGAATGACTTGATATACATTAGATTTGGGTAAATAAAACAATTATTCTAGAAGGACAAACTACTCAAACCAACAAACTACAAAATACCAAAGAAAAGGTGAATATTCTCATAATTACAAAAACTATAATTATGACAAAATAAATTTGTAATCTCAAAAACTCCTGAAATTAAAGGTCCAGG